CTTGAAGCCCTGGGTTCAATCCCTGACACCATAAAAAATTTTTTCAATTACCATAGGAACAAAGTTTCAAGCATTTATAGATCTTTTAAACCTAAAATTTGCCAGATAAAGATATCTTAGAAAGTTAAGCCTGTCAAGTGTTTTTTTCCACTAAAGAAATAACCTGCTGGATGGGGTGGTACGTGCCTATATTCTCAGCCTTCTAGATGCAAGTATCTCATCAGATACATAGTTTTCAGATATTCCTAATCTGTGGATTGTCTTCTCACTTTCTTGATAGTGTCCTTTGAAGGATAGAATTTAAAAATTATCCTGTTAAGACTCCATTGCCAACATAGGAAGTTATATAGATGTATACTGCATTGGATTTCTTTTTTTTTTTTTTTTTCTGGTACTGGGAATCAAACTAATGACCTTGCGCTTGCCAGGCAGGCACTGTGCCGCTGAGCTAAATCCCCAGCCCTGCATTGGATTTCTTGTTGCTGGTACAAAATACCTGGCATCTGAACTTAAAGGAAGAAGGTTTAATATGGCTCCAGATTTCAGAGGCTTCAGTCCATGGTCAGTTCAAGTCAGAAACATCATGGTGAAGAGCATGGTGGAGCCAAGCAGCTTATATCATGGCAGCCAGTAAACAGAGCACAAGGGAAGAGTGCTACAAAGGAAGAGCTGGGGACCAGACATAGTTTCCAAAATCATGCCCCCATAGCCCACCCAGTCACACTCAGAAGTGTGTGTTACTAATCCTCACGGGGTTTCTCAACTCGGCCAAGTTGATAACCTAGATTAACTATCGTATATGCTTATATTTTCTTGTAGGACTTGTACAATTTTAGCTCTTGCATTTAGGTTGTACATCCCATTTGACTTCATCTTTGAATATGGAGTGAGATACAGTCCAAGTTCATTTATTTTGCATCTGGCTATCCATTTGTTGAAAATATTATTTTTTTCCCATTGATGGTCTTGGTATCTTTTTTGCATATCAGTTGGCCATATAGGCAATATGGTATTTATTTTTATGCTGAGTTCTATTTCGTTGGTTTACATACCCACACATATGCTAATAACACAGTTATTTCACTACTGTTATTTTTAATTAGTCTTGTAATTGGGAAATGTGAGCTTTCCTGCTTTGTTCTTTTTCAAGATACTTTTATCTATTCTGGGTCCCTTGTAATTTCAATGAATTTTAGAATTGCCTTGTCATTTTCTATAAAGAAGCCAGCTGGAATTCTGATGAGCATTCTGTTGAATATGTAGATCAATTTGGGAAGCGTCACCCCCTCAATATTATGGTGTTTTGTGATCACAAGTAAACAGTGTTTTCTCTTTTATTAATATCCTCTTTAATATCTTTAAGTAATATTTTGTAGTTTTCCAAGAATACATTTTAGACTTCTTTTGTTAAATTTATTGCTAAATAATTTTTTTTATCCTCATTGTGGATTGTTTCTTAATTTTCTTTAAGGTTATTCATTACAAGTGTGTTGAAATACAATTGCTTTATATTGACCTGGAGTAGTGACTGGTTGAGTTATTTTTGTGAAGTTACACTCCCTCCTCCCTACAGTTCTCCGTACACACACACACACACACACACACACACACACACACACGTCACAGCATCTTACAGGCATACAGACATATCCTTGGGTGTACCTGCAGTCACCCTGGATCACAGTGGTTTTGTTCGGCCTCTCTGCCTGGCTATCTGAACACATTCATCCATTTGAGAAGCTCCAACAGTTGCTGGCTTTTGCTTTATAATGGCATTTGGCCTATATCATTACACAAAAGGAAATTCAGGCTCTTTTGGAGGGATATTTCCCATAATCAGTGTTTGAGATTTACTTAGGCTCTAGGAGGGTAAGTCACTGTATCTTTCAACTGTATCTTTCCTCATTTTTCTTGAATAACTAGGGGGCTTACAGTTTAACCAATACCTCTAACAAAGCTGCTTTCAATACCCTCCAAATTGTCTATCACCAAAACTTTTTGAGGACACCCATAGGCACGAACTTCACACACTGTTGCAAAGAAAATCAGCTTCTTTCGGGAGAGATTTTGAGCTCTTTTATGGCTCTGTCCCTAGAGGAGACGAGGCAGGAAAGTAGGGAGTGGCAAAGCTGGTTGGGAAGTGAATGTGACCAGAGTCCAGGACAGACGTGCCAAATAATGCCCAAGGCCCTGTATAAAGAGTTCTTGTGGGTTCGTGTGATGTGTAGAAGAAATAAAGAGATAGGATGACACTGAATTGTGAGTTACTGTGGCTTTTTTCATGGTAGCCTGCCCTGTGTTCCCCAGAGTGTACTTTTCTTTTGTTTTTTACTATTACTTTTTCTTTCCTTGGCCCAGGTTTGCTCTGCAGAGCCAGTTTCTGCCTTATCCTTCACTTTTAATTTCTCAAATAAACTTTTTCACCATGTTTGCTCATTTCAATCAATTCTTTCTTTGAGGCAGAAAGCCGGCAACCAAGATGCCAGCACCCCAAAACCTGATAACCATGGGATAGTGGTGCATTTCTTTCAAAAGACCATCAGCTTTAGGGACTGAGTACTCAGTGGAGGTAGTTGTCCTTGGTTTCTATCTCTTGGCATAGAGGCCCTGTCCTATGGGCTGTGTTAAGGGTAATTCGGACCCTACTCTTTTAAGTAACAGTGTTCCCAGGTGTTATGGCCTGTGTCTAGATGTCGTTCCAAGGCCCATGAGGTCATAAATGGGGCTTTGCAGAGGCAGCTGGATCTAGGATGTGTGGTGGTGGGATTAAGTGTGTGATGCTGGGATTAAGCATGTGTGACTACTAAATTAGTCCACTAATCAGTTTGGCATAGTTCTGGGTATGGATAATGGGAAGGCCCACCCTGGGTGTGGGTGGCAACAACCAAAGGGTGTAGCACAGAAGGCATAAAAGGAGAGACCAGCTGCTGCTTCTGCTTTGGTGCCTTCTGCCTGCCACAAACTGTTTCTCCTCTGTGATGCCCTCTGCCGTGTGCCAACCTGCCATATGGCCAGCCAGCTATGAACTGAAACCTCCACAAAATTTGAGCTGCAATAAACCTTTCCTCCTTTAACTTTGGGTGTTGGGTATTTTGTCTCAGCAACAAGAAAAGTAGCTAAGACACCAGGCTAAAGCCCTTGTCCTGTGAGTATGAGGTGGGTGGAAAATGGATCTCCTGCCTCTTGGCTATATCTGTCAGGAATAGCAGGTACCTGGGGCAGCAAGAGAAAGGCTGATGTTCTTCTGATCCCAGAACATAGCCCTCCATCTGAGAAATGCAGAGTCAGAACCTGGTGTCATTTGTTCTTCCTGTCTGTGGTGAGTAGAATTTCTCTCATACAGAGCCAGGAGTGGGAAGGAAGAATGTGGGCCTTGGTTCAAGTAACACAGACTCATCGATTTTAGAGATTTTAGTAGATTTTATGAAATAAATGTTTCTTCATTTGCAATATTCTTATGGAGCTATTTCTAGAGACATTAAGCAGCTTTTTGAAAAATTAATGTTCAATGTGAGGAACAAGACTATTGAGATTCTCACACTGACATGTAAGAAGTAGCATTGGGAAGTTTTGGTCCATTAGATTAGCATTGTCTTCAGATGAGTACTTGAAGTATCTTTGGTTGCTAGTACTTGAAGTATCTTTGGTTGCTAGTACTTGAAGTATCTTTGGTTGCTAGTACTTGAAGTATCTTTTGGTTGCTAGTGCTTTTATAAATGTATTTATAAAAACAATAATAATTTTTCTCAGGTTAATGCCCCAGAAGCAAAACCTAAGGTAAGAATGCTATTATTTATTATTATTGTTATTTTGATTTTATGTTACAAATAAAACAATCTTTGTTTTCTCTCAGATGTATTCCATTTTTAGTAAATTTTATTGCCTCTCTTCCCTACATAACTCCAGACAAAGTTAATTCTCAATGGAGCAGATCAGGCTCTTTTTATACTTTTAATCTCATGCTAACCCTTGGGGTTCTGCCCCAATTCAAGAAGTGTCAGTGGCTGATAATAGTTTAACATTTGCCAAAATCAACAATAACCACAAAAAGTCATCAAATGTTTGCTGTTTAGTAGAGGAAGTATATGTTTGTATGACGTGTTATAGAATATGCACATACATACCCACATGTACATATGCACATGCCTACACACCCTAGACAGGCCTATCCATGCAGAATAGAAATGTAACAATAGCCTTATGATTCTTAATAAGTCAAATTTTATGTATTCCTGACATTAGTTTTCAGATACAAAATTTAATAAACAGTATAGAACACTTCTTGCCAAATTCTGCTGCCATTGACGAATAAATATAGTAATTATGGGCTGTATTTGTCAGCTTTCTTATTGCGAGACAAAATACCCAACACTCAAAATTTAAAGGGGCAGAGGTTTATTTAGCTCACAATTTCAGAGGGTTTAGTTCATGGTTAGCTGGCTTCAAGGCAGAAACATCATGGTAGAAGTATGTGGTAGAGCAAAACTATTTAGAACATGAGACTAGGAAGAAGAGTAGGGGAACAATTCCAAAGAGAAAGTGACAGGGACCAGATATAGACCTCAAGGTCATGCCTCCATGGTCTATCCAGACATTCCCAGGAGTGTGCTTTACTAATCCCCCATTTGGCTTCTAAGCCGATCAAATTGACAGTTAAGCTTAACTATCGCACTGGCTTACAAAAAAGTCAGTGGAGATCTATCTTATTTTAGGCAAACTATTCACACAGGAGCTAGAAACCTAGATTAATTGAGAGGTTATTAGCTTATACGGGAATAATTCATATGATTATTTTAAATTATAAACTAATTTAAATGCTATTATTAAATAGATTTAAAAAATTTTATTTGTGCATTTGGTTCAGGGTATACCTATTACCATTACACCTACACAGATTTGTCTATTTGAACTACTTCATGAACATACATCCATTTTAATAAAGTGCTAAATATAGGCTAAATTAAAAATTTTCCTTTATTTTTAATTTTTTTTTAGAGCTGGAGATTGAACCTAGGCCTCATGCATGCTAAGCATGTGCTGTACCACTGAGCTATACTCCCAGTCTGTCAAATTCTCTTCAAAATTGAGGACACTGAGGGAAGAAAAGAAAGCAGCACAGGTAACTAATATTTACGTAATGAATTTTTTCAGATTATTTGCTAAGCGCTCTTTCTCAGCACTCCACTCAACCTCAGAACAATTTTTATGCCAGTTGTTCATATCCTTACTTTGCAGATCAGAAACTGTGGCTCACAGGTAACCATTGTTATACAGTAGGAAATGCTGGAAAGAAACAGAATCCACATCCATATGACTCCAAGGTTCATGCCTTTTTTTTTTTTTTTTTTTTTTAAGGAAAAGCATTTTATCAACCATAAAAATGTAGCTAAAAAAATTGATTTTGGAAGGAAATAAGAACTTTTTAAGAGTACAAACGTACATATTATGACACAACAGCTATGTGTACAGTAATCTTCTAGTCAGTTAGTTTTTAACTGTTTTTAAGGTAAAACAGTTTAGACAGGCCCTTCTAAATTGTGAGGTTAGTCTTTTGACAAAACACTGAAAGTTTACTGTGCATGAAGAAAATGATTCATCATATCAATTATACCGTACTGGCATATTAAATGCTCAGTTCTTATGAGAAAACCATGCCAAATATAGGGTTATTTTAGTTGGTGATGTCTTTCTTTATGTAAATAGACTTTTGCTTTCAGTAGTGTTATCCCCAGCAAAACAGATGGGCTATTGTCGCGTGATGCCTGCCTGTAGGGAGATGTGTTTGATGTTTGAATTGGATCTGAACCAACTACCATAAGATGGATATAGTCATCCATTTGATCATCAGTTGTCTTCATTAGCATTCATGCTTGCTCCTAGGATTCAGCCCTCACCCAGAGAGAGTGGTAGCAAGCATCTGGTTTCCTGTCCCTGGCTGTGGGTATTAATTGCAGTATGAGTTTGCATCATTTACTGGTTGCAAATAGTCTTCAAATACCATCACTATAAATAATTCTTTGTCCTTTATTTATGAAAGGATCACAGGGTTCAAAGCCATAGGCCCATTATGATGTCTGTTATTTTGTTTTTGATATTGCATGAATGAAGCCATTCTCTCAGGATGTGGGGAAAGAGTTTTGCCAGCATTTTTCCTGTGTGATTTCATCCTATACTAACTTTTCCTTAACCTACCCTGCATGTTCTTGAACTTCTTCTACTTCTCTACAACTTTCAATAGTTTTAAAAAGTAACTACCATAATATCCAGCAATGCCAAGTATCAGATGTCACAGTGTGTCACTTCACAATTCTCGTGTTCATATTCATGTAATGCACGTCACCCACCCTTTTACCATTACTTTAATACTGACCGAGAGACTAGTCAAGTGACTGAGGGATCTAGGCTATATAATTCCTGGTTTCTTTCTTTCTTGATCCCTTCATCTTGTGGGTAAGAGTAAAATCTGGAAAATATTATTATAGACATAAAAGTTCTGAAATGGCATACAGTAACGTTACTGTGAGTGAACCATGTATGCTAAAGAAAAATAGAATAACACCCTACAGTATCCCAGTATGGTGTCAGCCTTGGGTTCTACCTTAGAGCCTAAAAGACCTACAACGCCCATGAGCTACAGAGAATGGCAGAACTTGGGAGGGCATGTTAGGAACCAGAACACTGCTGCCTTCTCTTATGCAAGCTATGCTACACTGGGTCTTGGGATTCAGTCATTAGGACTCACTCATTTCTTTACTCAACAAATACTTGTTTGTGGCCTTCTATGTGCCAGGATCCATTCTAGGAGCTAGGACTATAACAGAGCATTCACTAGAAACCAGCTTTTACCTCTTGTTTCTCTCACCAGCTTTGTCTACTTCCAACTCAGTATATTTTGCCTAATTCTTTTTCTCATAGCTCTTCTCACCTGTGCATCAATGGATGTAAAGTCACTTGTTAAAATGACTTGCTTCTCCTTTTCCTTAAGAATATTTAGCTTTCATCCTTATGGTTTAAATTTTCAGTGTCATGTAATTTAACCTAGGGATCAATTAATATTCTGTTCTCTAACAAATGTGCATGCATTGGGCTGGAGATATAGCTCAGCAGCACAGCGCCTGCCTGGCAAGTGTGAAGTCCTGAGTTCAATTCTCGGTTCCAAAAAAAAAAAAAATGTGCATGCATTAAATTAGCAGTTGTACTAAGAACAGCTACATGGCTTTGCCAAGACTTGTCTCTACTATTCATGAGCAATTAATATTGTGCAAGTTATATAACCAGTATGTGCCTCATTTTCCTCATTTGAAAGGCAGTAATACCCACTCATATGGTTGGTGTAAGAACCAAGTACAATTGTAGAATACTTCACATAGTGACTGGAACCTAATGAAATAGTAATAAATGTTAATTCATGGTTCCTTGGATTTGGTAGAGCATATTAGCAGTTTTGGCTAAAACGCACTGTGGCCCTCATTCCACATCAGGCTGGGCTGAGAGACGGAGCCACTGATGAGGACCTGATCCAGCTTCTGTGGTTTGAGCAGGAAACAAAACAAAACAAAACAAAACAAAACAAAACAAAACAAAACACAGAGATCATCAATCAGGCTAAACTGGACCAAGGCAAAGCCCTTTATAAATCTGATATTTTATTCATCTGCATTAGTTTACTAAAGTATGAAAGCTTAGCTAGCTAGATGTATGTAGTTCTCTTGATGTGGTGCTTAATGAATATTGTATTCTGCTAATACTATTGAGTTGTACAGATAACAAAAATGTATGTGAAGGTGATTTTCAACTGTTTCATAAAGCTTTTTAAATGTAAGGCACTGTGGCTATTATTTATAGTCATTTTCTCATGATAGCGATGAAATGCCACATTTCAATTCTTTTTTCATTCACACGCTAACTTGAATATTTCCATTATATGATATGGCTTTTATATTGAACCAGCATGGTCTGAAGAATGTTATTTTAAAAAGCAATTTTGTTTTTGCCCCTCACTGTCACTTCGAAGTGTATTCAATAGGATAAGTGTTTTTCCTGCTGCTGTATAAAAGCTCAAAGGACCTAGGGGCAGAAAGCCCCATAGTTGTTTTAAGTTGCACAACAGAGCTTGATTGAGAAATTAAAACATCCTGTCTAAATTGTACTCTGCATGCAAAGGTAAGACTTCCTGCCTCCTCCCACCCCAGTGCTCAGAGCCTGCCTCACAGCAGCGGGCTTCGTTGCTTCTCTATCTCACCAGTGTCGGGTCTTTGCTAGAGTAGAGGTCCAGAAGTAACACAGGAACAGAAAGTCTTACAGGACTGCACTGTCATTCTGCCTTTTTACTCTCTGGGATTGGCTGATGTTTAAAGCTGAACTTTCCTCCCTGAGTTCATCCTAGACTCTGACAGTTGGATTCCCCTGAATACTCCTCTCACCCCATGGCAGTGCCTCTCACTCTGCTGACAGCTGCACTGCCCTTTAACTTCTGGACTTCTGGATTCTGTTGGGATCCATTTGCTCTTTGGACCAAGCCCTGGTTGAGCAGGCACGATCTCTGAAAATCTTGGCAGCAGAGATTCTCCTTGCTCTCATTCTCCATGGAAGAGTTAGCAGCAGCGACCCAGGTTCCCTCAATCCAACAGCACCACGTCCTCTATCCCATCCTCTGATTTGTGTCCCACAATAGGCTAGTGTCCTCTCTAATTGCAGTGTACTTCTGTTAAGGCCTCTAAGCTTCTTCCCAACACTTCCTAGCCTACGCTCTTTTCAGCAGGTAGTATCCTTACCATTCAACTGTCTGTGTCTGTTCAAATGTTTAGATCATTAAAATTGGTGAAAGGCTTTAAAGGTATCCAAACCAGTTCTCTTAATACCATTTGAAAGTTAACATGGTTGCTAGGCATGGTGGTACACATCTGTAATTCCAGCACTCATGAGGCTGAGACAGGAGGATCACCATGAGTTCAAGGCCAGCCTTGACTACACAACGAGACTGTGTCTCAAAAAATATAACAGAAAAACAAAAAAGAAAATTAACATATGGTCTACTAGTTTACTTTGAAGGTAAATGTCTACTGTAACTTGATAGATGATATGAAACTTCCCATTTGATATCCTACCATACAGCAAAATGCATTAATGAAATAAGTTCTTATAAACAGGTAAGAATTAGGATACTGATAATTTGGAGTTCATTGGCACACAAAATCAATAGGAAAGATTCTTATATCTCATTAGAATCTGAAATTCAAGTATCATCCCCTGATATAAGGGGTTGTTAGGGCAAATACCTTCTCTCTTTGTTTGCTATGATATCTCTTATCATTTTACTTTAAAATTTATTAGAGTTGTAGCTCTTGGAGAGTAAGAATATGCATCTATTTTTTATTTCCTATGTTGAATATAGTGTCTGAAATACTGAGGTAGCTGAACAAATTTTTATTAAACCACATTAAAGGGATATGAAGTTCTTGGATTCTAATGAAAACTAGTGGAGTGGCTTAGGAATAGTTTTCCTATTATCCAGATTTCCGCTCAGTAAAATGAGGAAAATACCATTATGCTAATTAATAAAGATGAAAACTTGCCAAAATGATTTAAAAACCATTCTTCAAACAAGATGGCTTAAAAACACTCATGATTAATTCCATCACGTCCCACATGTGGCAGTCCCGTCCTCCCAGAGGTACCACCAAAACCACCATCTTGCTGCTCAGGGGGCGGAACTCGGTGTTTCCCTACAGTATTTACTGGTTTCATAGCCTTTAGAAGTCTGAGTTTGTTATATGTATAAGAGTAGAATGTTAAGGTAAGGGAAGTTGTGAATTGAATTAACTTTTGGTTTTGTTAGACATGAGAGGTCAACCACACATCCTGTGATGGTGGTAGAAAAGCACATCATACATTTTTGTAAAATCTTTTTGTCAAACTTCTGGAAAACCAAGAGGGGCCGGTTTGATGTTCACTTCCAAGTCTATGAAATACGCCCATCCAGTTCAGCATGTGTCAGAGTACTCTGCTGTGTTGCTGTAAATAATGACCTCAAAACTTACCAGCTGAAAACAACAAATACTTACCGTCTCACAGTTTCTGTGGGCCAGGAATCCCCGAGAGGTTTAGGGCTTGATTGTG